CCCTAATCCCCAAAAAATGTAAAAAAAATTAAAGAGTCTTTTTTACCACCGCACCCCTCTACTAGCCCCCACACCCACTACCAGCCCCCACCCCCAAAAAAAATTTTAAGTTTGTTTCTAAAAAATATTTTCAATTTCAAAAATTATTTTTTACTCTAATAAAAATAAAAGATATTTCTCAAAAATATTTTTCATTCATAAATCAAACACTAAAAATCTTTTCCGAAAAATATTTTCTACTCACCAACCAAACATGAGAAAATAAGTCAAAAATCAACTTGTTTTCCAGGAAAACATTTTCTAGAAAAACATTTTCCTTCATACCAAACACACCCTTTATCTCAATCTATTTCAATTCCTCCATTTATTAACATAGTTCATTTTAACTTGCTCAAATTCAAACTCGAAGACTCTCGTAGTACCAAAAAAAGGGCTCATCATCAATTATAAGGATGACTTATCACCAACTTTTGTTGACCCTAAAAGTTTGTACTATGGGTATAGTACACAGCCCTAGCCTAAATGGGCCATCATTTCTACACCATCAGACAACCTAAGTTTTGATTTGGACATTAGAATCTTGGCCTAATTGGGTTTGAGAGTTTTTAATCCAAAGCCTTTCTTGTTTTTTCTTATCTACTTAATTCACACAAAAGAGGAGTATGTTAACTAGTTAGGCAGGTAATTGACAGCATGAGTACATGCCACATTACACAAGACACAAAAGTTATCTCCCACATGACCGTGACAAAAAGGAGAGTCAAATTGTGACATTTGATTAAGAGGGGATTTAGATTGAATTTAAAGTTGATCAAATCTACTTTTAAATTAGTTTTTGATTTTCAGAGCATTTGACGAATATAATAAAATAATTTAAAATAAGTCAAAAATGACTTAAAATAAGTCTAAAATCAAAAGTAAGTATCTCCCTACTTTATATTTTTTGACATAAAAGTCATTTAAGTTTGACTTTTTCTTTTTGACTTAAAAACTACTTTTAAAAAACCAATCCAAACGAGCTCTAAGTCAGAACTAGTATGAGGCTTGCTTCAACCTTAGGAAATTTGGAAGGATGATTCTTAGTGCCCGTTTGGCCATGCGATATGAAATCATGATATGATATCATAATATGAAATCATAAGATGAAATTGAAGTTTTGTTTGGACATGCGATATGAAAATTTTGTGTTGTATATTTTCTCATAAACATAAGAATCCCATAAGTTGTAAAACTATTAAAACAACCCCAATTGTTAATTCAATCTTATCAAATAAACAAAATTTATAAATCGCATAATAAATTATTACAAAACTATTTGTTCTCCACTTAATTAACTGTTTCATCTAACTTTAATTGATCAAACTTTAATTCAATAAAAAAATTGAACATAAATTGTAGTGTACTAATCTTTAATATAATCCTCCCACATGGTATGGACAATCTTCTCACGTTGAACTTGCATTTCTCGAACATATGATCGAGAAAGCGAACCAACATTGTTACTTTGAGCAATTTGTTGCTCAGTATCATTTGCAACTATATTTGCATGCTCATAGACCATTTATATTTCATCACTCCTTTGGTATTCTCGCAAATAATTATGTAACACTGTACAAGTTATGACAATTTTCACTTGTATGTCAATATCATATGGTTCATGTCTTGTTTCACTTGTGTAATACTTGTGTGCAATTACACATTTTCAGTGCATTAATTACGTGCTAAAATCAAACATATTGGAAGTAGTGATTATCAAACATACATACCAATTTTGTCTTTTTTTCATATTAAATTGCTTTAAATATTTTCATATGTAGACAAAAGAGAAGTTTTTTTATTATGAAAAACCAAAAAGTTTTACTCCCTCCGTTCTTATTTATATTCACCAAATCAATTCCTACTTTATCATTTATATTCACCAAATTTAAAGCAATAATAAATTTTATGTTTGTGAGAATAATAAATTTTAAAAAGTAATGATGTGATTATTAATTTTATTTATTTATGAAATAAATGGTTAGTAGATATAAATGTGGATTGTTTTAACAAAATATTAACTTGTGGGTCAACTTTTGTATTTAAAAATCCCAAATCATGATATGAAATTCCCAAATCATGATTTTTGGAGAATATGATATTCCATCTCATGATATGAAATCATGAGATGGAATCACATATCCAAATGTTGATTCCATCTCACGATTTCATATCGTAATATGATATCGCATGACCAAACGCCTAGTTAGTGTGGTTGTTAACTTAATGTAT